GGTGCTAGGATCTTCCTAGTACCAGGATCTTCCTGGCTGAGAGTTAGGAAGATCCTTGTACCATGTAAACTGCCTTTGCTTGGAAAAATCGAAGATCCTGCCTCCACTGCCCCGCTAATTCTTCATGCCTCACCATATTTGGAAAATTCTCGCAGTATGCCACCGATTCGATGGTATATTTGCTTGGAAACGAGGTTGATCGATGGTATATTTGCCTGGAAAAGATGCTGCTTGGGCAATAGTGATCATGGCGTTCAGAGCTATTCGAGGAAGAAATAGCTGAACGGAAGAAATGCAAGAATAGTACGCAAAAAATATTGCTCCAAGGATATTATCAAACTTTCGAAGACTATCTGCAAGAAAGAGACATCTGTTTAAAACCTGCCGAACTGTGCCGAGAAACAAGCCAAAGTGTTGATGAAGAAATGGCCTTTCAATTATGCCTTTATAATCTAAAGATCTTACCACTAAATCGTTACATTTATTATTATTAAGTAGTGGTTATGGTTTTTCTTCTTTCGGGATAAAAGTTACTTTAAAAGCTGCTTAAACATTTCGACCTAAAAACTCAATTTCATCTGCAGAACACAAAGGGCAAACCCTTATTCAGAATTTTAAAAACAAGATCAATCGGTACTGCAAGTGTTTTCTATGACTTAATTGGTGAGGACCCAAAAACGAAAAAGTGATGAAACACTTGTGAAGGCAAAACCACAACGACAAGCCAGTGAGGGTCAGCTGGATCTTTAGTACACCTGGATCAGTAAAAACATGAGTACCAAATTTTAAAATTAAAACAGTAAACTGATCCTTACGGCAGCTAGGAAGAGTGATGGAGAAGCGGGAGGTGAATATATAATTCACCACTTTGTTTTTGTTTTCTTGCTATATTTTTTCTATCACTCTTCCTGCCGTAAGGATCAGTTTACTGTATTTAAAGTTTGGTATAAAAGTGATGGGAGACCTTAAACCTCTTAAGTCTGATTGTTTAAAAGCACAAAGGGCTATTTAAAAGCTGAATAGTTTTTCTATCATGGAGAAAGAGCCAACATCAAGTTTGGAGACAGGATGTCGAATCAGTATTTTACTTTTCAAGTCACGAAAGGAAACATTCTTAACACCTATGTGGTCTTAATCTGGTAAAATTCAGGAAAAACAAAACAAAGAGATTCAAGTATAGAAAGTATTTTCTCCTTACAGGGATGCACTTGTTTCATGTTTAATGTATATAGTCCGTGATGCAGGACAAGCCACGAGGTAAAGTACGCTTTTAGACAATTATCTTACGTTTTCAAGTTGACAAGTAAATTGTTTTTTATTTCTGGACCCAAGAATAAGCACTTAGAAAGTTCCAGAACCGTAATAACGTTTCCTACAAACAATAAACAACAAACTTTGCACCACACTTTGTTTGAACATTTGAACATTTAAATGCTTTATTAATCATTGGTTGTATGGAAAAAACGTTTAGTTCAATTCGGGGGCTCAATAAGCTTAAGGGAGCGCAATATTTCATTATCACAAAAACATAATACAACAGTAATGGTTTTATACACAGATAAAAGATCTAGTTTAAATAAATCCTCTAAACATCCGGCTGTATTGGGGCCTACTCTTCATCCCTGAAATTGTAGTATTTTTCATAAATTTAAACAACGATAGCGATTTGAAAATTATTTCAAGGCCAAGTAAAACGCAGTGCTTTGGTCTATGAGAGCAGAAGTTTCAGACATTACCGCCGAATCATTGCTTATCTTAAAAACAGACACCTCCTGGTTGAACTATTTTTCTAAAAATAAGATGTACGGTGGTCAATTCCTTGTAAAAACTAAAATGTTAATTTATAGTTAAACACCCCCAGAAGTAAGACACTCTTAATGTTGACAGTGCATCGGTATCTTGGGAAAATTTAAATTAAACGCAATTCTAGAAATTAAGAAAAGTTGCCATGGATGCGTTCTGTTTCGGTTCCGCAGAAGGTTGCACATGAGTTGAATTCGAAAGTGTCATTTTTGTCAAAGTTTAACACATAACACTAAAAAAAGAATAATAACGTTTACAGATAATCTAATCTATTATTATCTTTCGTTCGATTTCTTTTAGCATTTACCAATTCAAGGCAAGACCACGAAAGTCAATTGCAAAATCTAAGATTAAACTTCCGTAGCTTACATCTTAGTTGTTTCATTAGAAGGTAATTCTGTGTCTTTGAGGGTGCCCCGAGTTAATTGGTTAAGGCCTAGGGTCGAGTTTGAAATGAAAACAAGAAATCTTCCTGCTCTCAGTAGGCACTTAACTTGTTCCGTGATAACTTTGGAATATTAGCGATGTAGCATAAAGATTGTTTTGATGCGGCAAAAATGAGAAAAATTATATTTTAAAAGAAAAAAAGGATACAACCGTGGTCTCTGCGAGACAGATTTATTTTCATTGGTCTTTGAAAACAAACCTGGGCAAGCATTGTTTTAGCATTATCTAGGGACATAATGTTTAGGTCATATTTATCTATTATTTCGTTACCCAATCAACTCAGTTCTGTGACGACAGCTTCCAATTTATCGCCTTGTTTAAGGTAATCCGGGAATTTGGGAAACTTTTCCTTGTGGAATCCGGAATACAGGACTTTGCAATCCGCCAAATTATTCAGCTCAAGGAATCCAGAATCTCGCTTACAATAGATCTTCTTACCGATACGGCGACCATATTGAATTTATGCGATTTAAGGAGTATTATGGGATGCCCAAGGGGCATGAGCACGATCCAATATACTCGCTGAGTATTAACACGCGCTTTTCGGGCCAATTTTTCTGTAAGTTTCCAAGAAAAAGATTGTAGTGGAAAAAAAAGATCGTTGTGCCGTGTTTGGATGTAATAATGATTGCCTTTTTCCCGTGAAATATAAAGTGAAGTTCTCTGTTTGCCCGAAAAGCGCCCGTAAATACTGGGCGAGTGTCCCCTGGGCATCCCATAATACTCCTTGAATCTAATAAGTTCGATATGGCCGCCGTATCGGTAAAAAGTTCTATTGGAATCAGGAATCCAGGTTTCACTGACAAGGAATCCGAAACAAGTCCCTAGGGAATCCAGTCAGCGTGGAATCTAGAATCCAAGACTGGCTTGAAATACCTGATGTCTCGGCATGGGGTTAAATCATTTCTTATTTGTTCAGTTTCTTCATTAGAGTGGTTGCCCTGTGTGGTGCCATCTCGACCTATACTACCAAGCCTTGCGCGGCGCCATAAAACTGTAAAGAAGATGCCAGGATAGATAAATTAATTATTATAGAAAAATATGAAACGGCAAACTGATCCTTGCGGCAATTTTCTACAAGTTTAATTGTACTGATCCAGGTTTACAACTGGGAGATCCGGCACCACTCATTGGTTTGTTGCTGTGGACTTGCCGACATTTATTTTAGATACATTAATCCTTACACTACAAATAGTGGCCAATGATAAATTTCAGGAGATTATACAATTTTATTTTTGATTTAGCCCGAGAAACAAAGACTACTATGTATGTTTATTCCAAAAAAATTTCAACAACATTTTTCCTGAAACTATCCCTTGCCAATTATTCTTAAAATACTTTCATTAAAGATATTTTAGGTCCAATAAAAATATACAAAAATATATTCTATGCAAATTTCTCTTAGCTAGAAAAAAATTCATTGATCATGTTGATAATTACATGAGTAATTTGAAAAAAATCTGTACTTTAACGCGAAAGTTTATGACAACTTTTCTACAGCGGATGAGAGAACGTACCTTTGTCTTGAACTCACGCAAGGAGAATGCATAGAATAATGATCAATTCTGAATCGCTGTCTCGCGTACGCCAAAAATATAACCCGAGATTGAAACTGTCCAAATGTCAGCTAAAATTTCAGAATCCTTTGATTGGTGTTTTTGCCTTGTAATAAAATAGCGACGTAAACGTGTAACAGTCAGTCATCATAAATATAAGCCACCTAACCGGCTACTTAGACTACTTATCCTTGCACGTACTTGTACTTGCTTTGTTACGTCGTAAATTTGTGAGACAATCTAAAAAAAGAAAAAAAAAAATTGGGCGACTGACAAGGCCTAAGAAGCATTATGCAAACACCCGTCGCTCGTCTTCAGTGATATTATTTGTATAGTTAACCCTTTCGTGTGATTGTATTTAAATTTCTTGTTATTACATTTCTCTAGTTGCTTGAGTTAAATCCGGAAACCCACTGACTCCCAGTGCTCTTTTAAGCTAGAAGCACCCGAACGACTGCTCTTTCCAAAGTATTTCAACAACCTTTTTTAGGCTGTCTAGATTGTTCGGACGCTATTTAACGAAGGGCTTGCGCTCGGGAAACTTTAGCTTCTCAACCCCAATCTGCTTTTATCAAATCCCGTTGAAAACAAAAATTATTGCATTTTGTCACTCCTCCACCAACGCAACGCCGGCACAATTTCGCGAGTCATTTTTTCGAATTCTTTTTGTCTGCTTGGCCATCTAAGGATACTTTCAGCCTTTTTTTCGTTTTTATCATTTATTATTTATCTGCTTATTATTTTCCAAGAATCTTGGATGCTATTTTAAGGTTTATTAAACTTGATATATTCCGATATATACACCTCTTTCCTTTTACTATTTCAAAATTTTAGGGATCCTTTCATACGAAGAAATATAGCCAAACTTGGTTCCCTCTTATCGATAGTTGCAAGGCGCAATCCGTAATTTTGTATCCAAACGCCAAGAACGATTTATGATCCATTTTCTTTGTCAGTACATTCGGAAATTATTGCCTCGCGACAGAAGCACAACAGGCCAAAAATGTCTCCTGTTCGTAGCACACATTTGTTGTATGCTCTGTTCCAATGAGAGGTAAAGGAGGCTATATCTGCTCCACATATCATAATGGACAACTATATTTTTATCTGCAGGAAACACCTATGAGGTTTAGCCAAAGTTATTAATCAATCAATCAATCAATCGAGCGAGATCGAGGCACGATACTGACTATGCTGTACGCACGTTGAGTGTAGAGGGAGATATATGCTAAACAACAATGTCTTGTTTTGAAGTTAAATCAGCACTAAAACAAAGCTAACTCATGCGAAATCAGGTAAGTTTAAAGTCTCGTTTTTTAACTGAAATTCTGAGTTGATATTTTCCTTAAAACTGAGCCCATATTTACTTTATTCCGCCTCAAAAGGTTTCCTCGTGTTAATTGATGTATACAAGTTTTTAAATTTCACTGCACGAGAGATGCACTAAGAGTCCGGCTTTGCATTCTGTGGTTCTTTCCTCGAATTAAGCTGTTTTTTTGGTTGCATGGCCAGGTTAAATCGCCACTGATTACATCTATACCTTTTTCAAACCCCAGCTGACTCAACATTTCTGACCCATTCAAACGGTGATAATCCGTACGTGGTAAAATCAATAAATGGCTTCTTAATATGATCTAACCGCTTGAATACGTTGAATTCGCTCATAACTTTCAACATTCAGTGGTTAAAGTTCGGTTCCTCCCGGCCCTAACGCCGAATAAAGTAAACTGAACGAAGAAACTGAGTTTTCCTAATTTTAGCTGCAGTGACAAGACCAAATAAGAAAACGGCGGGGCTATTCAGGGTATCATATCCGAGACTCTCCGCATTCTAAATTTAATTCCTTTATTTCCCGCCGTAAACGCGCGTGATTCCAGATAAAACTGTATTTAGTTAGTTTCCCCTTAAAGAAATTTTAAAATCGTCTTTATCCGTCATAATGTCCAGTTTTCGCTTGAAAAACTAGGCCGTCTATTGGACTTGACGTACAAATAATGGATGTTAAAAGCAAGTGTTTCACTATAAACGGTTTTAAAATTTAGAAAATAAATGTTCTTGCAATGCTCACTGCTGTATTTCGTAGGTATCTTGGGCACATTTGATGTTATTATGTGCAGGAGGGAGCATTACTTTTAATACTCAGAAAGCTTCTTTTAAATCACTTAATTGAAGCTTAAAAGATATAGACGAAAAACGTGTCCAGTCTTATCGATGTTGTAGCTGCAGGCAAGGGAGATTTCGAAGAAATGCGAAGCAAAATGTTTAAAAAAGTCTTTGCGACGACTGGTAATATTCGCTTGAACTTCTATGAGCAGCTGTATTTTTGTTTTTTTAGTAGCTGACGATTGTTTATCTGCCCACGTTAATGGTTCGCCCTAAAATTTCCATGGACATTTTACATTGCACTTATCTCGGTTATGTTTTTCACCTATACTCGCAAACTTGCCGTGCGTGTTTTTATTCGCTGAAAGTGAAAAACAACTATCAACTTTATTGACCCGCGATAAACTACCCGCCCCCAAGTCGGCATTTGTTTTTGAATCTTGATAAACTTTATGTTGTTTTGGCTCCATGGCTGAGAAAAGTGACATATTCATTTTTTATGCTATTTTTATGCTTTCAATAAGCACATGCTATAGTGCCTTATATTTGGAGTTTCATCAATATGTCAACTGATATAACATGCACTCAGAAACTGTGACCAAACGTGTTATTCCATTGTTTGACGCTTTTGCCTTTGTTTTTGGCTCTGACGTGCGACCATTCGCCAGTAAAAGAGGATAAGTGTAACGTAGACCATACTAAACAAAAAAGATATGCTAATTGATCATTCTATATAGCGATCTTTTTGTCTTTATATGTAGTAATTGCACAAAATAGACTTATCAGCAGTTGTTGTATTATTCAACGCGGGTTTCCCACTTCCCTCTACCATTTCCCCATTATTTCTAGAAAAAAAAAATCTTGAAAAAAACATCTATCACGCATGTTCAGTGTGATTGTAAACAAGCCGAACAAGAATAACTTAATTTCGACTGACGACGATTGCTCTAAAATCGCATCATTAAAGGCACTAATTAAAACTCTTGAACCTGTGATTATATGTGGAAAAGAAACTGTGGAGCATTTCAACGAAATGAAATAATAATCTAGGCTTTTCAGCTGGAGAAGTGTCTTAATGAAAAGGGCCCCCACTGTTACGCTCTTAAGATGATTATTCACACCACTTAGAAATCTAACACGCCAACACGCGGCATAAGTTGTTTGGGCTTAAGATCGATGGATTAATTCATATTCAAAGTCATTATTTACAAACCACTGAGTCATTACTATAAAGACGGCGCTGCGCTCTTAACACGCGGAATTTCGTAGTTGGAATGAACTTCATCACAATTCATGACGGCATTCACTAGAACAAGGCAGCTCCATTCAGTCACACTGATAACGTCCATGTTTTGGTTCATTCATACTACCCCAGCTTACATGTATTACATTCTGATAGCCTGTTATAGGCGTCTAGATAGGAGCGCGGTCAAAACAACAAATACAGGATATACAGCGAGTTTCCTTTTTTTCAGTGCGCACACGCAACTATCTAAAAGCCTGGAACAGTCTAATTTGCTATAACAATCATTTTATGAATAAGCCTTTTTTACATTTCGACGAAGTTATAAGAAGAAGAACATACACAGACGTCATATTTGCCGTAACATGTATTGTACAAAATGTTCAGCACGCTGCATAGATTTCTTATGTTTATGCACAGTGCTTCAAATTTGTGAACAAAGCCATATGAAATTTTCTTGAGTTAAAAGGTTACCTTAGTAACAGTTAAACCTATCGAAAAATCCCTCACTTATTTTATTCACACACGCCTCAGCTTATCACTACAAAAAAGTGTTAACGGCAACCTTTACTTGTGTCACGTCGTTTCACCGTAAACTTAGTCTTTCCTTATTTTTCGATTTTAGCGCGAAATTATTCTATCGCACGAGTCCCACAAACTCGTCAGCAAAACCTTAGACCGGACAATGACCATGCATTAAACATTCTGTACTATGTATATCATGGAAGACACAAGTAGAAAAAGTAAGAAATTATTCATAAAAGACTTGCAAATACCGAAAACTCCTCTTGGGGCACCTGTACCCAAAGTTTATTTGCTTTTAAAATTTTGTGTTAATTTTTGCCGGCGACGGATGACTTTCCTTTAAGACCTGATGCGTTACCGTGCAAAAGGTTTGCTTTCAATGCCACCTGGTTGGCGGGCAAACACTGAAATAATTAAAAATCAATGAAATAATTATGCGCAGGAGCCTGGATAACAAGTAATTGGCATGTTTTCCAACTAATTAAAAAATTTATTAGCCCTGGACAAAAATCAGCTTGGGAATTTATTTTACAGGTCAAATTTGATTTCAGGTTAATTTTGATTTAACCTAGGTTGATTCTAAATTTTCTTTGTTTCCTAGCCCTAATTATTCATTAATTAGGGATAGGAGACAAAGTAAATTGAGAATCAACCTAGGTTAAAAAAGTTTAACCTGAAGTCAAATTTGACTTGTAACATATACTTGGAATCCATGCATACACTTATGAATGGCATTTAAGAAATTAAAGTCCATACACCATTTTCGATATATTAAAATTCCTCCTTGGCTCCGAGGCTTGAGGGGAATAAAACAAAAGAAATCACCTTGGGGCTGAGCAATGAATAATGCATTTCTTTTGTCTTATTCCCCCAAGCCTCGTAGCCAAGTATGAATTTTTAATATATCGAAAATGATCTATTATAATATTTCTTTCGATTCCTATGTTTTTATGGACAGAGAATGTTGTACATTGGATAAGTTCAAAAAGAAATTCTTTACGAACTAGGCATATAATAGGCTAATTAAGGAAAAGCAGCAGAGTTTTATAAAAGTCAAATTCTCCTTTCAGTCCTTTGTCTTCTTTAAAAAAACTGGAATCTGTGAGATGATTGAACGAATTCAGAACCCTTTAATAACGTAGGTCTGTTAATGCTTGCGCTATATTTTGGCTAAAATGATTTCAAATCCAACCGAAAACCGTTTCCTGCGGAGAACCAGAATACATAGAGAATAATACATGGGGGCGCGGAGAGGTCAAATTTATCGTTGACTGTTCAACTCGATTCGTTCACTAGTGAGATATAATCACGTCAAATAGTCAAGACGTTATCAAAAAGTACACTGTAAAATGCATTATGAAGTTGACACAATCTAAGTCTTTCAAAACGGCTTAATATAAGGTAAAAGGAAACAGCTATAAAGAGATGAGCAAAATTGTTCAATATATGGGACATATGTGTTTGATACGATATGAGATCACATGTATTCTGGTACGACATTTCTCAGTGGCCGAAATCCCAACAAGTCACTATCGTGTATATAACTAGTAATAGTTGACCCTACAGCTGCCCCGCTCTGTATATTGTCGGTCAATAGCATTTTTGCTCGTTGTGTAGCTCTTTGAAATATACCGATTCATAAGGAAGATTTTCACACATATTCCAGACAATAGGTGAGATAAATACAGGAAACGCAAGGTTCTATAGGTCGATTTACACAGCTTTGATCAAAACATTCTCAGTTTCTAAACCGTAAGAAAAAATTTAATTAGAAGTTGAATTTTTCGCTATTTCTCTTTCACTTTTTACATTCAGTTCATTTTATTTGCCGGAAAGGAAGCCTTTTAGAAATAAAAAGGTCGTTTGATCAATTCACATTCGCGCATTCTATAGTCTTATTTTAGACTTTATAGCAGAAGGACATCTGTGACCAGGGAATAAGTCAGCAGAGAATTTGATTGTCGGCGAATTTCTGTAATCGTCCATCGTTCTGCTAGTGAGAAGCTAGCCGTTGTTCACTCGTCTTGCTTGTTTGGGGCTGAGTCTTATTCCGGTCAAAGAGAGAGTAAGAGTGTCTGGCAAGGTTTCCAATGAAAGATTTGTGAACTCGTGTCTGGCAAACTCTCCAAGTGTTTATATATACACAGTTATACGCACCTTATAACTTCTTCTGCGCTTAACGAGTGTCGTTAAAATTTTGGTCCATTAACTTTCCGAACTTTCAGTGAAACAACTGCTCCACAGAATGTCACTGATAACACGTAACGCAAAAGAGTGTCGAAGTATGACTGCACAACAAATGTCACAAAATCTACCTAAGCGGTCCCTTGGGGATGTTCTGTCTTTACGTCATCCTAACCATTTCGTATTTGCGGGCGCAAACAATAGAAACGTCATCATTACTTACCGATTCCTCGCGGCCCCTGTTCAAGCAAATCGAGATTGACTGTATGACTGTATATTTCAACTGTAAGTACTTTCCTGTTACTAGAGTGCCGCTCCTCGGGATTTCGCCTTCTGCGGGGGCAATAAAGCCCTTTATAGCATATCATGTGTGGATGTCAGTGTGATAAAGCCTCGAAGTGATATGATATCAGTTTCATGGCAATTACTGTGAAATTCGAGAAAATGTGACACACCAAAAAAAATAAATATTTCTGGAATGTTATTGTGTTGCAAGGGAAAAGCCAATCAGGCGTCAAAAAACTAAACCACAAGCAGCAACCGTAAATAGTTTGAGGTTGGGTGGCTTGCTCGCATGTCCTGATCTTCGCTGTGATTGGTCATTACGCGGTAAACATTCTTAAAATATAAGGTATCTGTTCACTTTTCGCATTGTCCAATAAAGGAACTCGTTATAAACTGAAATCAGTTAGACCATTCATACTCTCTGGTCGTTTTATCTTTGTTGCCCAGTGATTTCGTGATGAAGAAATTAAATTTCTACGGCTACTTCTTCAAAGCGGGATGAAACCAAAAACACCATAAAAAAAACATGTTGACAGTAACAGCCAGTGGCTGTTTCTGTGAATATCTGTTCGAAGTAGCAAATCAATGCCTAGAAATTTCCATACCACTGCTCAAAGGCCAGTCTGTTCCCTTCACCTAAGATCGGCGTTTTTCTGTCAAATTTCCCACGATTTTCGGGAATCTGGTTTCACATTCCCCAGAGATGATTATATTATTCAGTACGTAAGAAAGGAACTCTTGAATTTTCGGTTTCAAAAATATGTGACGAAAAAAGGTATAAAAAACTACGAATCAGGCATCTAAGATTAGATTTTTCGGGAAATAGAAAATAATAAGAAAACCTAGTCAGAATTCGTTGGGACGAATGCCGGAATTTTATAGCGACGCAAAAAGGCGTCCTTGGGTGCTCCTTTGTTGAAGACTTTTCTCAGGTATCAAGAGACTACCAAAATGTTCTGGTTTGTTCATTATTAACGACATATATAATATAAATCTTTGGTTTTATGGCTTTACTACTTTTCTTTGTTTTGAATCCTGAGGATAAATGTTCTGCTTACGTCAATAACTCAAAGTGGCGAGGAAAAAGCTTACTTTTTAATTCCGGCAAATAAACGGATGAGTTCATCGTTAATAATCAGTCATTTCCTGGATCACGAAGCCTAAACAAGTGCCTTAGTCTTGCTGTACGTTCTAGTTTAATCCTGGTGATGGGTTTATCATAAGACAAGTGAAACTTCCGAACGAGAGCTCGTGAGAACAATACCGTGAAAGATGTCTAAATGGATTCTTTACCCTGGCAATGGCACAGTCGGTCTATCAGTTATAAATTATTATAAAAGAGAAACAGATGATTTGACTTTTTAAAAAAAATTACCTCAGACTGTTACGTTATAAGTCAAAATAGATGCATAATGACACGGCGGATTTAAAATAGGGGAAGTTAATTCCCTGCTAGTTCTAGTCTAGTTGAAAATATTCATTTAATATTTGTATTGAAATGGAAAACAAGCTGGACTCTGAATGACCAATAAGGCATTGTGGGCTAGCCGAGCTATTAAGGTATTCGTACAAAACTCAGCGGGATAGTAAAACAAAATAGTGGATATCTTCTCATGACAGAAATATTGATTATGCATTGGGTAAGTCAGTAATCTTAAGGAAATGACGTATGCATTACGTCATTCTAACATTATTGTTAGAGTTAGTCAGCATGGCGCCCCAAGGCTAAGTAAGGCGTGAGCTAAAGCATCAAGGAATAATTGTTCGAAATTTTTAACGAGAAATCACCAAAAGCAATGAAACACTTGTGGAAACACATTCGATAAAGAATAAAAAAACTGACGTAATTTCCCAAGAATATTATTTGAGACACTGAGATATAAACTGAACTGCATTGTAAAAAGATAATAAAATTTCAAGAACTACGTCAAAGCCGTAAATAGACAGTTTTATTATATAAACACCAATGAAATACCAGGTGAGCTTGCCCGCGAAAACTTGATATCTTCACATGTGAAAATAACATGTTATCTTCACATGTGAAAATATCACCGTTGCTATGGCTTCATAATAAATCGCGCCTTTCACACCAAAAAACCATTAAGGTGAAATGGTTTGGTAGTTCATTGGTGTTTATATAATAAATAGAACATTACATGGCCGCTTGGAGATACGAAATTTCTCTTCTCGCGTTAAAAAAATATTTCACTCGTTCGCTGCGTTCACTCGTGACATAATTTTCAACACTCGAAGAGAAATTTCGTATCTCCGCGCGGCCATGTAATATCCCCTATATCTCCCCAATTCAAATTCCCATTTTGCGGCCGACTTTTAAATTAGCCCATGGCGCCAAATTAAATTAAAGCAAAGGACATGTGCGTACTCACTAAACACCGTTCGATCCTTATATTTGTGAATGCTTGTGACGTTATTAAACAAAACCGCCGTGGGTGAAGTGTTTTAAAATCCGGTATAGTATTGAAATTTCAACAACCGCACTGATCAAACAAACATTTACTACCTGGGTTCCTCGGGGAACGACATGAGCGCACCTGCGAATCACAACTTTAAGGTATTTTAAGACTCACTGTCCAGTTTTGGCTCCTAAGAAACCTGCGATAAAATCAGTTAAACTGGTGATTTACAAATATTCATATTATAATGCTAACATGGGGTTTTTATGAGATACATATCTTTTTTGTTCTTTTTCGATTAAAAGTACAACTTAACACAATGCAAGATCTCAAAGAAAAAAAGGGCGTTATCAGATGAAGCTTTGGAGAGCAAGGTTGTCCAGGAAAGTTCTATGCATTCACATGAAAATAGGCACAGCGACGGAGTCACAGTTGCTGACTATAGCAAATGCCGAGTACATAGTGACTGTCAAGATGCTTTCAAATTTAAAATATTTCATCGAATAAATCTCAATTTCTGACTTTCTTTTTCCCGACCACTTACAGGAAATAATTTTCTCCTCAAAAATTTGTTTTTCAAACTTATTTTTTAAAAAAAACTTAAGCTTATAGTGATTCTTAGGAAAAGAAATTAAAGAAAATAACCATCATAAGGAGGATATTAAATAAGATACATTTTTTTGTGATGTAAATTTGTTTCAAAACTGCCAAATATGGCATCTTATTTCCCAAAGTTAAGGAGGTTAATATAACCACGGTTGGGCATTAAGAAACATTTTTTTTTGCCAAGTGCATGTTTTCGTGTGCATTAAGATACATTTTTTGCTAAGTAAAGTGCATGTTTTCAAAGCTGGCAATCTAAAACTTGCAACTTAAGTTCGAAATTTAAACTGAGAAAGCTCTCTAAAGATCTTCGTGCTCTTATACTCTTCACTTCAACTGAAAATCTGAGAGCTAAAATTAAGATTCTTGTGAAGAAAGAGGAATAAAAAAAAATAGAAAGTGAAAAAGAAAATTCAAAATAATTAGAAAGTGCCGGACGCGGGCGAGTGAAGTACCAGTCATTATCCATACTAGCTCCGCAGGCTGATACAATGTTTTCGAAGGTTGCTTTTTTATAAAATTAGAGCAATTCTATCGTGAAGGCGTGTGTAATCTATTAAAGCAGTATAGATGGTTGAGCTTTCATTTGTTCTAATCCGCGATAAAACAAGAAAAGTGCAACACTTTCTAACTGAGAATTAAATATATGCAATTCAAAAAGCTTAAATAAAAAGTGTACATGAAATAAACATAAAAAAACCTCAAAGTTTATTTAAGCTTTAAAATTTACATGAAAATTCACAGAAAATTATCGACTGAACAGATAGACTGTTAAAATTAAGTTTACTGAACGATGGATCCAGTTTCATTTTTGGGACCAAAAGTTTAGAATTTTTTTTATAATTTTCCTTAACATAAAAAAAGAGATTTAGAAACCTCGTGGGCGCGAGAAAGGAAACGTTTGTCTGTTTGTTTCTTTACTTGTAAGTGCTTATTTCCTTGGAGAAACGAAATTTGCGGATGTAGATTATAGTAAAAAATAAACAGCTGCGGCAATTACAAAAATACCACGTGGGTTAGAGCAGACAATAAGACTCATATCTCATTTGTCAATGACCTAAACACCGTCTAAATTTTCGATAAACTATTAAACAAGAGCAGGAATTTTAATAGGTCATATACATGCATGAATAAGTTAAGCCATATTGAAGCGGCAGCTGTAAATACAGTCTTGGCCATTGAATAAATCTTTGCACGTACAAGGTCAGCATTTGCATTCGTTTCTAGAAAACCTTTTAACTTACATGCAGAATTTCATTTATTTGTTTAGTCTCTGAAAACGTGTAGTTTGTCCCCGTTTAATCATCGTAAAGGTTCGTTGTCCTCCTTATAAAAGTACGACGAAATTCCCTGTTTTGATATTGATATCCAGGTTATTAGACGTATATCACCTTGATTGAAAGGAAATTCATTGATATCAAAATGGTTAGGAGAATGACGCTGCAAAATGAGGCACGTTTCTGCTCCGTGTTGGTTCAAAGGCCGGTAATTATGACACTCATCTTTAGACAGCACAACAAGCGTCAATTAATCCAAAGAGAAATTTCTTATTCATATTTATTTTTAAACTGTTATTTACATTCAAAATCAATTTCAAAATTAATCGTCCATCGAAAGACAATCTCCCGTCATTACTCACTGGAACAAATTGTTTTGCTTCATTGTTCAGTACAAGCCTTCTTTTTTCTTGTTAGTATGAAAATGAAAATTTCTTTCTTTCTTTTTTTGTCACTTATTAACACTTTTGCACTGTTTTTCTCCCGTAGATTGCAGAAAATTTGACAAACATTTCTGCGGATATTATTTCAGGGTTGAATGACACAAGTATGCAAGAACCCCTCTGGTATACTGTACTTGCCTGGCTTTTCACTATTTTAGGTTTTGTTGGTAACAGCTTCGTTATCTTGTTAATTTCTTCGAAGAAAAAACTAATTCGCCGAAAAACAAACTGGTTTCTTCTTTCACTGTGTTTTGCTGATCTTGGAGTCAGTCTAAGCATGTATCCTGCCATGACTCTTTGCCACCCAAGCAAGCATTGCCGTTTTGTTTTGCTCGCGAGCTTTCAGTGGGCTTTCCTGTACTCTTCGGTGATAAACCTGTGTTTGCTAACAGTGGACCGATACATTGCAATAGTGAAACCGTTTATGTATGTGCTGTTAATGTCGACTTTTCGTGCCGTGGCCTTCATTTGTGCTGCCTGGCTTATTCCTTTCACGCTCAGTTTCCTTCCCTTTACGTTCTTGTACAGCCAACAGGGAATCATTGCAATGAAGGGCTACTCTTACCTCATGATTGTGGGGTTTGAATTTATTCCCACGCTCACTCTGCTCTTGGTAACATCTCATCTTATCTTCATCGCCAGAAAACACGCTCGCGAGACGGCGTCGGTGATGGCTCAGTTACGGTACAACCAACCAATGACGGAGAGCAATAACGTCGCAACCTTGCGGCATGATAACAGAAGACGATCTTCAGTAATTTTCATCGTCTCGATTGTGGTCTTCTTCATCTTTTGCTATTCGGCAACGATCGCTCGGACCTGCTGTGATATCTTTACCCTTTGTAGCTATCCGCGTGCGTTTTACAGGGCGAGCCAGCTACTCCAGATTGCAAACTCCGCATTCAATCCGCTCGCGTACGGATTTCTGAAACTTGACATCAAAGCAGAAGTCAAAAAACTCCTTCGTATTGCCACTGATGATGACCGGTCGTCCATGCAGTTGGAACAGAGATAAGCCACATCTCTGGCACTAAGTGAGAAGATACCACAAAAAAGCGAGCTCTGCTTGGCTAGTTCAGGATGTCTCACCAGGTTGTGCCTCAAAACTGAAAGAGTGGTCTTTTTTATCATATTTGTTTTGTAGAAAATCTCAAAGCAAAATACAACCAAATGTAATAGGTCTGGAATTTAAAAAAAGATGACTTAAACATCCTCTGAGCCCAGAAACGCCTTCACAGAACCTCGAGAGGTGGGCGTCAGTGTTCTTCCTAAAATGAAACGATAATTACGGGAATTTAGGTGCCAACAAAAAGGGATCCCATTTTCAGCCTTCAGGCAGTTTTAAGGGAAGGAATTTCGGGATTTAAAGTACATGAAAGGGTAGGCAAATCTTTCACTTATATTTCTCAAAGGTTGTTATGTCTGAGTCTGTTTAAGATTTATTTATTAGACCAGCCACCCAAGCAGTGGAATGCAGTGTTACTTACTATGTATATATGTGTAAGAAAAGGGGTACCATTTTTCATGGGAGGCTATACGAAAGGAATACCTGTTCGTTTAAAAAAGGGATGGTAAAAGGGGGTCGTTGGGCCTCTGGGCGGGGCCTCCCCGAGTAAATAGGGAGCTTTAGCATCGACGACTTTAACTGCAGCGACAACGTCAGTTTTAAAATGAGTGACCGTTTTTTCAATCTTTGTCGTGTTTATTCCAATTTGCTGAAAATGGCAAGTGTAGGCGAATTTCCCTGGAGTTGATTTCTTGAGGACCGCACACACGTTTAGAGAGAGAAAAAGAGATTCGTCGTCGCTTGTTTACGTCCTTCATAAAACATGCAATTAGGCATTTTCACGTCGTAGTCGTGCAAGGACGGTAAAGAAATGTACAAAAAAGCGTGATCACGTGCAAAGTTGTTGTTTTGCGTAATAAACCTATTGCTTTTTTGACGTCCTCTTTGCCGTCGCCGTCGTCGTTGCTAAAGCTCCCTATTCTTTGTCGAGTACCCACCACCAAGGCCGGGAGATGGGGTACATCTTACATTCCCAAGGTACCACTTCTTGAATCAAACCCAGTTGCATAGGGAGCCGGAGTGTCTGAGTTAAGTCTTAAACGAAAAAATAAGGTAAAGCTTATTTCATGGTCAGTATAATAATATATTTATAATAATTTATAATAATTCAAAATGCAACAGTAATAAAAGCATGATACGTCCAAAGTTTATCATGTTTGGTAAAAACAATCAATAATAGGAATAACTTGGCCGTCTAACCACAGACGTTTGTGATACGATTGAAGATGTATTTTTTACCACAACAGTGACGTTATTCTTTTGACAATAGAACAGGACATTGAAGTAGCTACAATAGCATACTTACATGCTAGCCTGGGACCAGGCTCCACAGTGGAGGAAAAAGGCACGGGGTTAAAAAGAAAAAATATTGGTGAGCGAAGCAAGCTAAGCGGTTGCCTGGGGAGGGGGAAAGGGCACCACCCTTTCCCCTTCCCAGACTACCTCTCGGCTCACTTTACTCGCCGATTTTTTTTTCTCGCCCACGCCGATTTTGTTTCTCCTGTTTCCTCCAATGTGGAGCCTGGAGGAAAGGGACCTTTAATTAAATTATTTGAAAAATACCTTCCTTGTAGCTTTATCATTTTAATTTATTTAACGTTACTCGAGCATGACCAGAAGATTTCCCTGTTTCAGCTATTTGTTTTAATTAAGTAGGTATGTTTTGAGGCAACCATTTTTATATGGAAGATATACAAAAAGAATACTTTTTCTGTCAAAAATGGCATCTGAATGGTTGCATCTCGTGGAGGAGCCTCTCCTTGCTTGCCACCCTCCCCTCCTCCCCTGATGCTTTCTGCACAGTTAGTCCAGTATTACTACTACACCGAGCTTCCAACAATTTTGCCGAGTACAAAACTCAATACAATGCGTGTAATACATGCAGAGAGTTATAGATAAACAAAATCTACTAAACAAAATTGATGTAACATGCAAACAACAACAAGCTTTATTTGTTGGACCATACAAGTACATACAGTATTGCAAAAGCTATTTATAATTATGTTTTAAGAATAAGAACTAACATTTAATCACTGGCCAATTAAACTACTTTGTTAATAATTCGTCGCGAAAATCAAAGCAAGCTGAAATAAATTTCATGAATTGCATATAGAAATTAGATGTGTTCATCAGTTCATTGATCAAAATGTTCACAGGTAACTGGGTAATATTTGGAATTAGAATCTTAACTTTATTATAAAAATTATTCCTAATCAAAGAGTATTTAGAACAATTAAAAAGAAATTGAATTTCGTCTTCTATTTGATTGGATCCACAAAAAGGGCAGTTCCATTTCTGGAAGTTTGATTATATCTATATACCAAGTTCTATCAGTTTGTGGTTACTTATTAAAAAATTCTAGTTCTTGAGAGTGGTGAAGTGTGTTTTGCCAGTATGATATTATATTCTTGTTTCATTAAACCTGCGAAATCATTACTTTCGCGGTATCTAACAAATCAGTGTTGAAGTCAGGTAGGTTAAAATATTCTGACATCTCCATCAAGTAAGGGTGAAAGCCACGCCTACCATTGTAGTATTAATCAAATGACATTAAAAAGCTTGCTTAACGAAAGATTCTTCATCTTTAGACTTAATATATAAAATCTAGTTGAGGATTTTATGATTGATAGTGATTTTTAAAGGTAAGCGACCATTGTTGTCCACCTCTAGGTAACGTTTGCAAAATTGGAGGTCTGTCTTTTCAAAGTGAGCTGTCCCAAGTCCTCAAATCTGGTTTGGCATACACACCCCAAATTTCACTTTTATATGTCAGAATAGGGGAGATCATCGTATCAAATATTTTACAAGCAAGAGATGTTTTTAGTTTGCTAAGATTCGTATGTCGTCTCAAGCTAAATAGGGCATGAAGAGCTTTTTCTTTGAGATGTTCACGTGACACTGAGAAATTTCCTGAAGAGGAGATTCGACTCGATTTCCTAAATAAGTGTACAATAATTTGACCATCTATGAGAAAGCGAAGTTCAGCCTTTTTCCTGGCACGTTTCTGAAAGACCATAATCTTAGTTTTCTTGAGATTGATTTTCATTATCCACGAAGCCTAGTAGGAGGACAACTTATCAAGGCAATTTTTGCAATCCTGTTTTGGATCGTGATAATATCATTAAATCATCTGTATAAAAAAAAAGAATTTAATTTTGCACCGTTTGGCAAAACAAAAAGATCAGATAACGTATTTTCAAATGCGGAATGTAGGTCGTTTATATAAAGATTAAAAATCAGTGGACTCAAGATACAGCCTTGCATGCCGCACGCCTGTCGCATAACGGAAGGGTCGTGTTTGTTTTTGAGCAATTTTGATTGCGCATGTGAAGTTGAAATTAAGCTTTTAATCAAATTGTAAAAGCAACCACCAACATTAATTTGCAGTAACTTATGCAGGAGCCCTTCATGCCAGACCGAGTCAAAAGCTTTTTTGAATTTTCAAAGCGAGCATAAATCTTTTCCTTGTGATTATAAACGTACTTATCTAATATCAAGGTTCGGAGAGTAAAGACGCGGTCTGGTGTGCGGTTATTTGGTAAAAAAAAAAACAATTTGAGATTTGGGAAGTGTATTGAAAGACATGACATGTTCGAGGAGTCGCTGATTCAAAGATAGAACAAAACAATTTTCCCAGGCAGCTGGAGACACAGATAACTTGGTAATTTGCCGGCCGGTTCATTAAGCCCGCCCGATTTATAGATGGGAGTAATAAGACCACCACATTAAGACTTAGGCATGGTGCCTGGGGTAAGAATTGAATTAACCCTCGGACGTTGGGAGCAGGTCAATTGTGGGTTCATATGTTCCCGTGAAAGAAATGAGTGTTAATGATATATGAAATAAATCATATATGAAGTGCGGAAATGAAATGAAAATGAAGAAATGATCGTCGCAGTGAACGCAATTTATGCAATTGCGTAAAGAAGCTTGAAGGCTTCATAGTTCAGTTGGTAGTTCATATTTGATTTATTTCATATTTTATTAACACTCATTTCTTTCACGTGAACATATGAACCCAAAATTGACCTGCTCCCAACGTCAGTGGCTTCATTGCTCAGTTGGTAGAGCATCTCATCGATAATCGCGAGGTCACGGGTTCAAACCCCGTGACCAGGCTTCCAGGCTTCTTTACGCAATTGCATAAATTGCGTTCACTGCGACGATCATTTCTTCATTTTCCTTTATTTCCGCAGTTCATATATGATTTATTTCATACATCATTAACACTCATTTCTTTCACGGTAACTAATAACCCAAACCCCGTTGAAGTCCTGAATTTTTTTTTCTAGGCTTCTTTACGCAATTGCATAAATTGCGTTCACTGCGACGATCATTTCTTCATTTTCAGTATTTCTAACTCTTGATAAAATCCAAGATGGCGACCATGTTTGGTGACGTCACAGACCTTCAGCAGCGCCACCACCCATAAAATATACCTTATCTTGTAGAGAAGTTCAAAGGCTTTCCACTGAAGGAAAAATCGTTTCAAAATATTGCAACATATCAAAAATCCAACGGGGGGCCTCCATCAACCACCCCCTTGTACCACGGTGGGGGTATGACTTTGCGTTTACGTCCGAGGGTTAAATAATTTGTCATAAATAGAGGATATTACACGGTGGAGCGAAGATATGAATTTTATTTTCGAGTGGCAAAACAATATTTTACGAACGAGCGCAGCGAGTTGGTAAAATATTGTTTTTTCCACGAGAAAATAAAATTCATATCTTCAAGCCGCCGTGTAATGTTCTTTTTATTATATAGACGAAAAGACCGATAAAATAATAGAGGGAAATGACCGAAATTACGTCATCGATAAACTCACGTGTGAGATTATGGAAAATAAACCACTGGAGTCCCGGATGTAGTTTTTATGAATTTTACGAGTGGTATATTTTCCAGTAAAACACTCCTGTCCATATATACAGGCATCAAAGTATCAATACTAGCTTTTATCATTTCATTTCAAATTTCATCCGAAAATGGAGATTTATTATTCTTTAACATAACATAACTCGCTTAACTAAATTTCCTGGCCATATAACAAAAAATACCTTTACCTGCCCTTTAACATTGAAGTCTTCACCAGTTAACGAAAAAATATAGTCTCAGAAGTTTTTTTTTTGAGTGATTTTAAGTGATTTTGTGTTTACCGTTGACTATGCTTATAGGAAAAGGACAAGGCAACAGCAAGGCCGAAAGTCTTATTTTCATATCTCTCGTTCGAAAAAGCGCTTAAACGGCTCATAGCTCTCCCCCTCAAATCAAATTCCTAGGCTTTCGAAACCGATATCCTCTTGACTGACACTAGTATTCCCTTTTTTCAGTTTTTTTGGGGGGGCGGGGGGAGGGGAAGAGGGAGACTCCCATGCGACATGAAGAGGTGAGAATACCAGTGCCTTGGCTGCTGTACCGAAATGCCGGTGTAACGCCGGTCTGCGAACATTTCATGCGAGCGCGACTCGCCTTTGGAATCGTCTAGATGACAAGCTTAAAAACATTTTAGTATTACAAGGACATTTTAAGGTACCTTTTTTTTATTTTTTATCTCGATTGTACTGTACTAATTAGGTAGCTAATTAGTTGTAACCATTTTATTTTTAATTTTGTTACCCTTTAACTCCCTTTTACGATATCTTTTACATTTTAGAATTATTTGTAGATTGGGGCCACAATGTAAACTACTGGGCTAACCAGTAATTGTGAAAGCCATTAAAAGTTTATTGATTTATTTAAAATACTTGTCGGTTAATTAGAATTAAACTGGCTTCAGCAGACTAATCTAGGCGTGGCTCAGGCTTTATTTAACCCCTAAAGGATCCCAGTCTGGGCGTGGCCCAGCGTTTATTAACCCCTAAAGGATAACAGTCTGGGCGTGGCCCAGCCTTTATTAACCCCTATTAAAAGGATCACAGTCTGGACGTGGCCTAGCCTTTATTAAACTGGGCGTGGCTCAGGCTTTATTAACCCCTAAAGGATCCCAGTCTTGGTGTGGCTCAGGTATTATTTGACCCCCGAAAAGGGCCAAGCAAACAACTGAACCACTGAAGAAGAGGGGGCATCCTCGAAACGTCTGATTTTCCTCCTTTTTCTACGCGTATTCTAATACAGTATGACGGCATTTGTTTAAGTGTTTGTTTTAACCCTTATGGTTAAACATACTAGTGGATTTTAGTCCGTAACACTTTTAAGACCAATTCAGCAATTCTACTTTCAAGAGATACGAGGAGCATCCCCGTCTCCGTCATTTGATAGGTTCCCCCGTTCAATAATCATTGTTGGTAATTAAGTGTTGTGCTCAAAAATCCGCTTGAAGGTATTCGGTGTGGTGGGGGCGGGATTTATTTTGCTGGGTCCAATCAGAAAGAGGCAAGTAGAATCACTAGGACAACATAAACAATAAGCACGTACTGCGTGATCACGTGAGAGCAAAAATTGTAAACCTGGTTGATTCTGGCTTACTCGTGGTGATCCACTGTAAATAACGTTATGCTTGTTAACGTCAGACGAACAGATCATTCGCCACAAAGCCTCACTCGTCTGTGAACAAAGTTCGTCACATTTGCCCTCTCTTAACCTGAGATCAGGCGTTATTTATTATTATTATTATTTTTTTTGCTTCCTTGCTTCTTTGGCTCGAGAGGGAAAAAAAATAACGCCTGATACATTTATTTAACAAGCCATCAACCGCCCCCTAATTTACATAATCTAACGTCTGCTTGACCTGTCATGTTATTAGCCAATCAGCGTTAACCGGAAGGGAATCAAATTTTGGCGGGAATAATGTCTCTTTCGAAATAAATTTCAGGGACAAGAAAATGTTTAAGTACGTTCAGATGGCGCTTCCTAAGAAAAATTTTTAAATGTGTTTTTTTTTTGGTGATGAAATGCTGCTAGTTGGAGCTGCCGTACCTTTATTTAACTGCTGCAAATAATCAAGAATTTACTGGTAAAAGCTCGTTGACTTCATTCTGTGCCGAAAGCCGCTCTGAAAAAAAAAAGTAAGCTGAAGCACCATATTTCACGAACTGAAAAGTGTTGTGAAAGCGAAGATCGCTCAGAATAATTTGCAGGTTTCTGAAGGAGGAATGACAGGAATTAAAGTCAAACCAGGTCAAGATTCCATTCATGAATCAATTATTTGAAAAGTGAACCCCTTTGTCCCTTCTGTAACTTGCAGCCAGTATCAAATTGCATTCAAATGATCGGTGAATTTTTGACTGCAATTTTTAGTATACAATGAAATGGAAAATATTTCAATGGATGAAATTTCTCTTTAGACATTTTTCAAACTGGCAAGAAAACTGAGCCGGCAGAAATTTCGTAACGAACTCGCGTGTGTATTCACTGCTCATTACGCAAGCAAAAATGCAGACTGAAATCAACAACAACTTACGGATGGCGGCGTTTTGGCCAATCGGAACAGCGCAAATCATCTGTATTGTTTCCTGTCCAATCAAGTCCAATTCAAGTCCAGATTCTGGCTTTTTTGCATGTGATCTGTAAAAGAAATGTATCATGCCCTTCTTTCCGAACACAGATTACAGAGATAAAGGCAGAGGGCATGATCGCAGGCTAGCCCTCTCTGTGTTACATTCGTCCAATATCCAAAGCCAATGGGAGACAACGTTTATGTAAATTTTGATTTGGTTGATTTGGGAGCAGATGTGTTATGGGAAAGCGGAAGTGGCAAATTTTAATTTTAAACTTCACAAATTAACAAAAATTTAAAACGTCTATTGTTGAGTTGAAAGGTATAGTTTTATTCTGTTCTCCATACGCTTCTGAATCACCGTGAACATCATAATGCTGTTGTTTTTCGTTTTTTGTACCGTTTTTATTAATTCACAACCCGATTATTGTTATTAAACAACCGACAGACGTTCTTTGATTGCGTTGCACAACTTTTAATTTACCCTGTGAATTTTAGCTCACGTCATACCACAGGTAAGCCAAGCTCACTATTGAGAATGGTTATTGCGGTTATTGTTCAGGGGTAAAAAAACCAATGAAAATACATCAGATAGAGCTTTTTAATTTGTCTCCTTGTTTTATTTACGGTGTGTTCTTAGTTTTTTTGGCCTTTTGAGGGCGATTCCAAAGAGTTTTTGTTCAATCTGCCTATATATATTACAGAGAAATTAAGTGTGGTGACAGTCACAATTGCACCGAATAAAGTATAACAATTCTGTTGTAGTACAGGAAGCCCTGAATACGCAAATTGCCCTGGCCGGCTGGAGCAACAGAATAACATGTCTATAATTAAAAAATGACAACAAAAAGAAAACCTTTCATGAGTAAAAGTACAAAAAAAACATTATCTTGTGTCAAGTTGTAATCTTATCGAAGAGAGAGACGCTGTTTATTAATTTGTTCACCCTATAGTGACAACCTACTTCTCTTTAAGTCAATCTTAAAATATGAAAAGTAAAACTACAAAGCCACATTATAAAGCTCTGCAGTTTAACAGAAAGGACGGAAATTAAGATACTATTTTGTTCAAACAATGACAAACCTTTTTTATTTATATGACTAAATTTAGTTTCATATGCGACAACTTATTTGCATTTATTTGCAGAAAGAAATTGAAGAGACAGCCTATTCTTCGCCATCTGCTGTAACTGAAATCGCTATAGGCACTTACGTTTTGAAGTCCACCTTTTTCTCTTATAAACGTTTCCTTCCCGTCTGCACACAGGATAAAAGTTTATAAGGGTGGTCATAAATTACCGTGAGTCGGATTTCTATACCGGGAAGAAATTCACCAAATCTAAACAGGCTACAAGTATCAAGTAAGACATCTCGGTTTTTAGATGGTTGACCTTTTACATGCTCGTTGGTATTTCCCAGATTGTCTCGCGTAATTTTAAAACGAAATTCTGT